AGAGACTTGAGATAAGTGATTGAAGTTATATGATCATATACTTATGTTGTCTCAACAGTCCGATATTTAGTTGCAATCACCCCATAAGATGAGATCCATGCTCCGTTAGATAATTAAGACGGTGAAGGAATTCAAAAAGATATGTGAGGGAAACAAGACAATAAGGACGACACAATGTAAATCCTTATGATTGAAACAAATATCCAAATGAACACTTTAGCTGCTAACAAGTTAGCCTGATCATATTGTCATATCGTATTAGTATATTTGTAGATTTTGCTTACCTACCCATGCGGGATCGACTTATATATAATCGTTCAATGAGCTCCCTGAGGAGTCGATAGTTTCTTGGAAATATTAAATAAGATGTTTTATATCGCATCTCACAGGAAAACACAAGACATGAAATCTTTTCTCTTTTCACCTCACTATTAGTCATGGCAATACTAGGTCCTTCAAAGACGCTTTCTCGAGGACTAGAGGCAGGAAATGACGAAAATCGGTGCATATGTCAAGACGCATTTCAAGGACTTGTTCCCTAAACATTCACTTATGCATCCTTATCCCCTTTAAAGAAATCCTCCTCACAAATTTGAAGGAGTCCTAAACAAACAGGTGGGACTTTGCCAAACATGACTGCGTACCCAACATAATCTCGCAAGAAAGAACTAGAAATAAAAGGGGAGACCATTTGCAAAATGAGAATCCATATAGAAGAAGATGCCATGAAAGAAATATGTATTATTGAGTTGGGATTCTCACACTGACCCCTCATACAGATATTCCAATCTCAGACTTCACTGAGATCAAGAGCTTGTGTTAAGGGAACCAAAGTGGCTGATACTAATGATTTAATTGCTTCCTTGGGTATGATACATATGAGCATCATACTCAACAAAAAGAAATTGCGATGCTAAGCTTCTTTGAACAGTACATGTTGATATGACTTGAATATGCTCATCTACTTCTTGCGAAATATACGGGGGTCTCACATATATGTTCACCTAGCAAATTTCTCATAGCAAGTTCCAACGTTATTTGGACTTGCTAAATATCACAAGTTCTTAAGTTCCCCTACGGGGGATCGAAGGCAAAATGAGAGGTCTTTTCATCTAGCATTGTCATGATCCATCATTATGTAGGTTTCAAGAAAAGGTGGATATTTGTTGATACCATGTGCGATCATTATGAGATGTCTTTTCATCTAGCATTGTCCTCAATAAATCTATTCTCCTTCGCCTGGTGGAAGTTACCAACAAAATGTTGGTGAACCATGTTAAATCTGTGTTTGTTTCTTTGCATTATTTTTCTTTGATCATCCTTGATAATTCGTTAATAAGAATACATTTGAATAGCAAAATCGATCGATCAATAAATAGGTTAAACTATAAAACATGAGGGACTTTATGGTTGCGTCGAGCAAAAAGATAGATCACACAAGTGACAAATAAGAATCCAACAATGACATAAGGAGTTACAGGAGACATCATGTTAGTTTCATCGGGGACAGGGAACAGGTGGGGACCAGGGTTACCTCAAGGATCAAATGGGCCAACTCAATCTAGAAATGCAAGGTTACTAACACTTGACTTTGACTTTCAAGAGGTTGAATGTAGACTATTCTACCAAAGCTACTTTAATGAGAAAAATCTAACCAAAAGATACACTATCTATATATTTTAAATAAAAATATACCGAGTCAAAAAAAATGTCGTAAGAACTTTAGTTAGCATGATTCGGTTTCAAATAATAAGTGATTATTCCATTCTCAAATTTCCCTCTGGTTTCTAAGTACTAACATTCCTTTTCCAGAGTCCCACAGTAAAGTTCATTTTTTTGCTTTGTTGGCAATATTTAATGATGAATTGATAATTCTGCTGCCCCAAATTCATTAACCCGTTACACCCCCCCCCCCCCCCCCCCCCACGTTTAACTCCATTAGTAGTGGGTAATATTTTTTTGTAAAGTCAAATTTTCCTTTTTAAAAAACATAAAGTCAAACTAGGAACTTAATTAAAAAGCGGAGTTAGGATTATTTTAGAAAGAATTGTTACAAAATCTGAAAATCGTGTTTTTTGAATTTTCAAGTCATTTTCTATCAATTCCTAATGTTGTTTATTTGCCAACATTACATCTATGATACAAGAACCGGATCGGGTAGGTCGACACGGCACCTAACCCGTTCCGACTGTACATAGACCCGTAAATATAGATAAAAGTGGAATTACCTATTGGCCCGTTTTAGCCCAGGAAGTACCCACGATGGAAAAAACCCAGGAAACCAAAGAATTTCTGAAAGAACTGGCCCATATGAAAAATAAATGCCAATGTGGCCGGTTGTAACAATAGGGTGTTTGGTAAATGGCGTTTCAGTCCAAAAGTGGTGGTTTGACCACTCTTAACGCTTTCAATAAGTGAAAAAGTTGTTTGGTAAATAGTTGTTCGCCACTAACGTTTTTGGACGGAAACGCTGGAATGGAAACACTGCAAATAGGAGAGTTTTGGGTCAGCGTTTTGAAATATGGTGTTTTCTACTAATTTTATGGCCAAACAGCTAAATTACCAAACATCTTCTGACAACTCGTCAACTTATTCCGCTAGTCAAACCCGCTGATAGAATCTACTATTTACAACACGCTAACATAATTCGCTAACCGCTAACTGCTAAATGCCGAACACGCCCAATATGTTATTTAATTACTATTATTCCTTTATTATTCAGTACAAAGTATTAAGATATCAACACTTTCAAGTACTCCCTCCGTCCCAAATTGTTTTGCAAAGTCAACATTTTTTGGTCAACCACTAATAAAAGTAAATGCTCCCTATTGATAATTAATCAATTTTTAATAATTAAAATTTACATATTCAGAAACAACATTAAAATCTCTTCAAAGTTGCAAACTCCAAATTACAATATAATTAAAAATTGACATCATAATTAAGCGAATAAAATGAAACTGTTTGACCAAGAAAAGTCAAATTTGCAAATCAATTTGGGATGGAGGTAGTATTAATTAATGAAAGAAGGGCTAAAATATTACTTTAAGAGTTTGGTTTGACAAAATATGACCATTTTAAATCTGGACAAAAATATCATCATTTTTGAAATAAAATAGCTTCAATCGTAATTCATCCAACCCTTTCATTACATCAAAGCAGTTGTCTCCTTCAACTCGACCTCCGCAGAGACATCATCACCCCCAACCTCATAGTTGCAGCCCACCTTATCGTTGTTGCTCACCTCATCGTCGCCCGCTATAGTCGTGCCCCTTCTCTAGTCATCGCTCTCCCCTACCTTATGTTGATTTTCTTTTTCTTCCCTTTCTGTCCAGTGAGTGGGGAGCTGAATGTGAGTAGAATCGGCGCTGTTGTCATCAATGGAAGCATGGTATTTGGTCGTGAAATACCAGATGGCGGAATCGTCGCAGTTGCAGTGGAGACGGCGCAAAATTAGGGTTTGACTAGGGTGGGCGGCGTAGATGAAAAAACAGGGGAAGGGGCAAGGGTAGCGAGGGCGTGGTTGGGACTTGAGCAGTAATGACGGTTAGAAGTTAAGGTTGCGGGTGAGGAAGTTGCAGGGGAGGAGATGGGCAGTAGCAACGGTCGGAAGTTGGGGATGCGGGTTGGGAAGTTGTTGGGGATGGGTAGAAGGTTGGGTAGGCTGGCCACTGGGGAGGGTGCAAGGATGGAGCAACGGCAGTCCCAAACGAGTCAGCGGCAGCCAAGGAGTTGGGGCTCATGGTGGTACCAACATTGGTGGGGTTACTGTGGCGGAGTGGTCGGGCTGAGTCTTGGTGTAACTATGACTGAAGTCACTTGTCATTGTGGCCAGACTCATTGTGGCTGGAGTAGTCATTGTGGCCGGAGTCACCGTGGTCTATGTCACTTTGGCTGGTGTCATTGTTGCCCGTGTCACTTTGCCGGTGGCGGCCATCGGTCGGAGGTGGTGGTAGATGTCAGTATGCATGTGTCACTGTATTTGGTCTGTTGTCCATTTATTAGTAATATTGAGGTTAAAAGCCCATAATTAATAGGTATTTAATACAATAGTAAATATTATTGTTATTTAAATGTATACTTTTGCCTTTTCAATACCCCATTGTGTACAGAAAAAATCAAATATAAGTAAAAAATGCTTATTTGATGTTTTTAAAAGTTTGTAATAAGTATACTTATGTTCATATTTATATATGAAATAAATATATCATCATCCTAATGTCGCAAAGGCTCCCACCAATAGAGAGACTGTTTCATATGTTTATTCATATAAAATAAATATATAATATCTTTAAATATTTATACTGGATACATACTTATTTCCATATTATTTTATACACATATATAAAACTATTATGGGTGTGTTTTCAATGCTTACTAAGTTACTAGTAATATATTTATTTGATTATTTTGAATAATAGTTACCCTTTTCTAATTATATATATATATATATATATATATATATATATATAGAGAGAGAGAGAGAGAGAGAGAGAGAGAGAGTAAGGATCATATGAGAATACTTCTTAACGTGAGAAATGAGAATGATTCTGGAGCTTTGAATTTTGGCATTGTGCATCAAGTAAAACAAAAATGTGCATATAAAAAATGGAAAATTTGCATTTCAAGTGTGCAAAAGTTTACACGTACACGTGCACATTAGAATTTTGCATTACTTTAACTATAAACGTGCATTTTCGTGAATGATAAAGTGCATCGTTTTAGAGCGTTCTCATTTCTCACGTTAAAAAGTGTTCTCATCGGAACCGCACCCAATATATATATATATATATATATATATATATATATATATATAAATATATATATATATATAATCTAAATCCGGTGATATATAATGTACTCCACAGAGCACATAAAAGCATTCACCATTCGGTTTGCGCAACAAAACATTAAATCATCAAAAAATGGAATACATATGAAACTCTTGAACATTTGAAGTAAATCATACAACTCAATCTCCATCGTTTAGCTTGAAAAATGGTATCATGATGCCTCTGGGGTGGTACTACAATTCTGTGGTTTGGTTTTGAACATCTTTAGCCTTTGTCTATTCGCTCACTTCGCTCAATTTGTTTTGGCTTTCTTTACTAGTTTCTTCTTGTGGCCTCATAGCTGGAAAGAATATGACTTCCTTGATGTTTTGTGAGTCGGTCAAAATCATTGCAAGTCGATCAATACCAATTCCCCATCCAGTTGTAGGTGGTAATCCGTATTCAAGTGTTGTGCAAAAAGTTTCATCAAAAGCCATTGCTTCATCATCACCAGATTGCCGGTCCTTAAGCTGATCAGCAAAGCGTTGACGTTGAACAAAAGGAACATTCAACTCAGTGTATGCATTGCAAAGTTCATGCTTGTTGACAAACAGCTCAAATCGTTCAGTCAACCCAGGCTTAGACCTATGCCATTTCGCGAGCGGACTCATTATTTCTGGATGGTTGATGATAAAAGTTGGATTAACACACATCTCTTCAAGGAAGTGCCCGACAAGTTTGTCCAGCAATCTAGATGTAGTCTGAGGGGGGGCACATCTTATCTCAAACTTGGTGCATGCATCCGCCAGATACTTGTTAGCCTCATCACTAGCAAGATCCTTGGGTATACTGAGATTTGCCACTTTCTCTAGATCTTCGATCATATCAATCCTTCTAAAGGGTGGGGTGAAGTCTATCTCGATTGGGTCTTTATCCATGCCATTTGCGTGATACTTAATTATATAGCCACCTGTAAGCTCCTTCACCATCCCACTAAGCATTTGCTCAGTAAGGCTCATCAAGTCATTGTAATCTGCATAAGCCATGTAAAACTCACAGGTAGTGAATTCAGGATTGTGTGTCAAATCAATACCCTCATTCCTAAATTGATTCCCAATTTCATAGACACGTTCCAGTCCACCAACGACTAGCTGTTTAAGATAGAGTTCCGGTGCAATGCGCATGTAAAGCCTCATATTCAATTCATTGTGATGAGTAACAAAAGGGCGTGCGGCTGCTCCGCCAGCAATCATGTTCATCATGGGAGTCTCAACCTCCAGGAAGTCAAGATTGTTAAGAAAACTTCTAATGAAATTTATAATATTTGCTCTCGTCTTAAAGATATGCCGGATCTCCGGATTCAACATCAGATCCAAATAGCGCTGTTTGTACCGTGTTTCTTGGTCTTTCAATATAAAAGTGTCTGGGTTTCTAGGCATCCCAGAGGCCCATTCATCAGTTTTCCTGGATTCATTTTGGGCTCTCTTCTGCCGTGGCATCATATGGACACAATGACTTAACACTATAAATGATTTTGGAAAAATACTCAGCTCTCCTCTTTTTGTTTTACCTGGGGACCCAATAACACCAATAGCATCACCACGCTTCACAGAAGAGTGAAGTTTAATGAAATCATGCTCATTCAACTCAGATTCCCTGGCATTCGTCATTACTTGAACTTTGGCGCCCCATCCATGTAAGTCATAGAACACCAGCTTAGAGGAAGACTCGTGTTTGATCATTATCCGGCCGGCTAAAGAAACTTGCTCATCGCGATGCTCCCCGCTTTCCAGTTCCTTGTATTTCTCAATGAACTCGGGAATAGTCATGGATACTTCATGTTTATGAGGGTAAATATTTTTTCCAGTTTCCTTCTCAGACATGAGTGCTTTCTTTCTGTTTTCAAAGTATTGAGTGGCATCCAATTCGTCATCGCCGCCGGGCTGTTGCTGTGGTTTCCCCATCTATTATAATCTAAAAGCAAAATGTTTTTTGGGGTTGTATTCCCCTTATAAAAATGCTTACTCTCACAGTGGTTCTTCAGCGGTAGTAGTGATTTCGTGATGCCGGCTGAATCGCTGAAGTTCCGAATCATATATATATACATACATATATATACATACATATATATATTAAATAATACTAAAATATTAGTACTAAATTGTAAAGGTTGGCCGGGTTTTTCTGATGTTGGTCGGGCTGACCCGTGACCTAGTTATTCCTCCGGGTCACTTTCCGGGCCGATTCTTGTAACATAGCATTACATGACTTAGTTCATTGAAAAGGATAAGATGCATATAATACTACATCCTTCCCTAAAAACTTTGACTCACTATATATTTTTATTGGAATTTAGTGATAATATAAAAATGATATGAAATTGTTCCTTATGAAATGTAGTTTTATAAAAGTATAAAATTTATAATTTCTATAATATTGATTTAATCAAGATCATGATCCAAATTTTACGAGATGACAAAGTTATTAGAGACGGATGTAGTAATAAACTTCTTATATTACTTTGAAACAAAATGACACACATGATAATAAACTTTTAAAAAGGTATATAATACTATATATAGAAATTTCTAATTAATTAATTAAAATAGCCATGAAAACAAAAACAAGAAGGGCAGAAAAGCCCAAGCTTGTGCAACACCCAATTTCCTTAAATGTATTAATTGCCTCCCATGGTGCTAGGAGCGGTGCAATGATCGTTTCCCAGGATACGGTGGCTTACGAACAACCGTTTGAGCACACAATCAGTTGTTTCGGTGAACGGAAACGAAGTATGAACCCTAGAGGAAATTTCAGAAGGTTGGAAGTGTTTTTAGTTCAAAACTACGTGAACACTGTGTATAGTTCGTGTGTTGTTGCAAATCACCTGTCAGCTATATATAGGGATGAATTTGTTGTGTGTTAACTAAACTTTAATGGACCTAAACGTTGGACATAAATGACCAGAACGTTGGGCTTTGATATGTCAAAAAATTGTCCTTTTAAAGACTCATTAAAGGAGAAGAACGTTGGGCATTAACTGTTGTAATGTTTCGGGAGACTTTCGGTCCAAGCAGTTCTGATGCGGAGCAGAGGACTTCTGGTCTGAACAGTTCTAGCACGGAGCAGAAGCGGTTCTGTCTGTTTGAGCAGTTCTGATTCTGAAAAAAATGAAACGTTACGGGAAGAAACAAAAGTTAAATCATATCTTTGAAAGATAAATGTTTGGACGACATTCATATCCGCAGATCGCCCACGCACGCAAGTCACGATTTTTCTTCTTCATTTTCGGGATTTGATCGACCCCCCCTCCCCGCGCATGAAGAGAGCCTTTCCACCTTGGAATCTTAACTCCTTCAAAGATGGTCACCTTTATAAAGGGAAAAATCACACTAGAAACTCATCCTTTTCGCAGTGTTTCCATTCCGACGAGTGAAATTCGAGAATCAATTTATCATTCACCCGTTATCCATTTTGAGTGTACCACATATCGAATTGAATCCCTTAGCAAGGGGAATCTGAAACCACTTTGACCCGACCCAAATCAGAAGTGGACCCCACTCAAATTATTGCCACAAATTGACCATTTAATACGAGTTCTCCTTTCTTTTTCTTTTTTTGTTTTCTATTTCTTTTTTTCCTGTTTCTTTCTTCTTCCATTCGATTCAAGTAAAAGCGGTCAACATCTTTCTTCATCTAGGCAAGCCACAACCAGCCCACATCCTTCTCCCGCAAATCTTAGACGCAATAAGAAACATCATTTGGGTCTCCCATTTTCCTGCCGCCGCAAAGAGAATAACATATCATGTGGCCGTTGTAGGCGAAGGAGGAGGGCGGCCACGAAGAGATCAAAGGGTCGTGGAGTCTAGCAAGGTGGTGGTGAAGTGGTCTCGAGATCTAGTCGGAGAAGAAGAAGGAAGGGGATGGCGGAGAGGAGCTAAAAAATAAGAATAAGAAAAAATTCAAAATTGACACATGTACATTCACTGTGTCAAACGACCGGTTAACCAACAATCATTTTTATATAGTTCATGAGTTCAATTGGGTGTTTCTTTTGTTCGAGAGCTAATTTGACAGTATTCTCTTTACCCTTTTACTCTTTACAAACTACTTTCTTTTTTCTATTTTTTTATTACTTTTCCTTTCTCAATATATTCTTTCTCTTACTTCTTATTTATCTTACACCATCTATATTACCACTAATATCTTCTTCTTAAAAATCGTGAAAAACTTAGGGAGACAATTATCAAAGAATGAAGGGAGTAACATTTTCAACTTGATTGCTCATGAGTAAACTTTTTATCAAATTTAAAAATTTTTATGTCCACCGTTGTATTGCATGGTAATAAAAATAAGTCGTTAGTTTTTTAAATTGGCTGAGGTTATTGAAGTTAGTTTGCAATCTTTTGTTTTTATTTTATTAATAAAATAAATTTTGTTAATAAACATTTTAGCAAATTCAGATGTTTCATTCAAAATATCATCAATTTTACCATATTAATCAGATTCAGCCAAATTAAATACTAGTACTACTCACTCCGTCCCAAAATTAACTTCTCAGTTTTCTTGTCGAATTGTCGCAAAATAAAGTCACACTTCCTTATTTGGCAAACAAATCTATATCAAAACAGTGTAAAATAGTGTAAAACAGTGTCGAAACAATGTCCTCTATAGTAAATGTATTTTCTTAATATGTGTGAAATGCAAGTGTAACCTGAATTATGGGACGGAGGAGTTGTGAACAGGCCTCATAAGTCAAATGAAGTTACTTCAATCAAAATGTCCAATTTAAACGTTTACTCTTCCGATTCTATGATTTTCAAAAAACTCCAATTATTTAGGGAGAATAGAGCAACATTATTTACCTTGAGAGCTCATAATAATAAAACTACATAATTGGTTATATCTATATTGACCCGAAAAAGTAAGGCGATAAATACCGGTGAGTGTAATTAAAGCTATATCATTTTCACACAGGGAGTACCAAACAGAATTCATAATCTTTAGTCAAAAGAGTAGAGAAAAAATACGGTGGCAGTAAATGAAAGCAAAAGCCGGGACCGTTGACTCGTATGGCATATATGGTGCGATGATGAATACAAAACCAGAAGTTCCCAACCTCCACCTGCCGCTTATTAACCCCATCCTTTTTATCTTTTCCCCAGAGAGAGAAAGATACAGAAGTGAGAGTGAGATATCAATGCTCTGCAAATCTGCCAATCTTACGTGTTTCAGAGCGCTTTTAATTTCATTGATCGAGAAATAAAGATGGACAGGTCTTGGTTTTCGCGAATATTATATTGAAATGATTTTGGGATTTCCTTCCCACCCTTTATCTTCTTCGTCCTTTTCGTCTTCCTCGTTGCCATTTACTTGCGCATCCGCTTGAGCCAGTGAAGAAGCGGAGGGATTATTAACGGAGGAGAATAAGAATTTTCGATTCAAGATGGTGTTGGGATGGAGGCGGCCTTTCTGTGCATCGATCCCCAGAGATCTCGATTCCATGGAACAAGCGCATACTACGCCTCAGCCGAGTCCTAGATTCGGATCCAAGTTCGGATTCTTTTCGAATCCTTCGACGCCGCGGATGCACCACTCTCCACCGCCTGAATCTACGCCTTCTCTCCGTTGCCGCACTACAGTGACTCCGCCTGCCGACAGTCCGAAACACCAGTCTAAGAGCCCCAGATTCTTCCACCGCTCACAGCCTTCTTCTCCGCGTTCTCCTTCCCCTTTTTCTCTCCTCAAATCCAGCCTCCGTCTCTCTAAGGTATGTATTGAATGCAGATGCTCTACATTATTGAAATTGGAAAATACTGTTAATCTTCTGAATCGTCGGATTTGTTTACTTATTGAAATAAAAAAATTTGAATAACAGAGCAGGTGTGGGATATGTTCAAGGACGGTGAAGTCCGGGCAAGGGACGGCCATATTCACGGCGGAATGCTCTCATAGCTTTCACTTCCCCTGCGTTGCTGCACATGTGAAGAAACAAGGCAGCCTCATTTGCCCCATTTGCTGCTCAACTTGGAAAGAGCTGCCCGTGTTATCTCTACACGATGAGGAGATGAAGATACTGGAAGTGGAAATGGAAGAGAGAACGATCCGACAAGTTACGCCTAAAGGAATGAAGGATGTTCGTGTAAAAAGTGAAGTTAATGATAAGCAGCGCCAAAAGGGAAGGGCGATTTTGAAGGTCTACAATGATGATGAACCACTGATGTCTCCCACTTCTGGAGCACGTTTTAACCCTATACCTGAATCGGATGAAGAGAATGAGGAATTTCAGGGATTTTTCTATGAAAAGGCAAGTCCAGTGATGCACACGCCTGCTGCTGTGGTCTCCAATAACGTTGAGGCGACGCTGTTGCCTGAGGCGGCTGTGGTTTCTGTTGGGAGGAGTCAGGAAACTCATGCGGTGGTTCTGCGACTCAGAGCTCCGCCGGCATCGCTGGTCACTTCTCGGAAAGCTCCGATTGATCTAGTAGCGGTGCTAGATGTTAGCGGGAAGATGACAACCGATAGCATCCAAGTAATGAGACGCGCTATGAGGTTGGTGGTTTCGTCACTCTCTGCAACAGACAGGCTCTCTATCGTGGCTTTCTCTGCAACATCAAAGCGTTTGCTGCCGCTGAGGAGAATGACGACAAGCGGCCGGCGCTCTGCGCGTCGTATAGTGGATGCGATGGTTTCTCTTGGTGGAGCGGCGAGTGCAATCGACGCTCTCAAAAAGGCCGCGAAGGTTCTGGAAGACCGCCGTGAGAGAAACTCTGCCGCCAGCATCCTTCTCCTCTCAGATTGCCATTACGAGCAGTTAGCCGCCAGCTCAGTGTACCAGAGACCTCAATCTCCGGTGATTTCGTCCTCCAAGTTATTCGGGCAAAATGAGATTCCAGTATATTCCGTCGCATTGAATGATGCAGCTGGGTTCGGATCCGGGTCAACCGAAGATGGACTCACAAAGTGCATTGGCGGGTTACTAAACGTCGTCGCTCATGACCTTCGCGTTGAACTCAAATTTGTTTCCGGTTCCGCTCCGGCGGAAGTAGCCGCAGTTTATTCGAACGGCAGCCGTCCGGTTTGTCACGGGTCGGGTCATATCCGTTTAGGAGATTTTTACGCAGAGGAGGAGAGAGAATTGATGGTGGAACTGAAAGTCCCATCATCAGCCACTGGGGCCCACCACGCGCTGTCCATTCGATCCGTTTACAAAGACCCGTCAACTCAAGACCTCATCCATTGCAAGGAACAAGCCTTGTTGGTCCCGCGAGCCCACGCCGTTAGATCTTCAAGTGAAAACATCAGACGGCTGAGAAACCTCTTCGTATCGACGCGAGCCGTAGCCGAGTCCCGGAGATTAGCCGATCGTAGCGATTTCACCGGCGCGCGGCGGATGCTGTCTTCGGCTCGAGCTTTGTTAATGCAGTCAAACTCCGGGCAGGCGGACGATCTGATCACCGGCTTGGAAGCCGAGCTGTCGGAGCTGCATAGAACTAGGCAGAACCAACAAAACCAGATCCAACGGCGCGGAAGGGATGAAGAGAAAGGCGAGCCCCTGACGCCAACATCGGCCTGGCGCGCCGCGGAAATGCTTGCAAAAGTAGCTATGATGAGGAAGTCGTTGAATAGAGTCAGCGACTTACACGGCTTCGAGGACGCCAGATTTTAGAATTTTTTTCTGCCGTTGCAATCCCACCCTCATCCCGCACCGCACCCACCCACCCACCCACCCCACCTCAATTTCTCCCCATTCAAAAAAATTATTAATGGAATGTTAATTTGTACTCACTAGAGTAAGAGATTGAAGACTAAAATAATGTAATTTAGAAAAGAATGGGACCCAACTTGCGCATATAAATACAATAGGGTCACGACCAAAACAGTTACTCGGGCTGTGTCTGCAGGTTATGATTGATTGATTTGAGGCAGTGAGGAGGGGAGGGGCTCTCCAATTTGTCTTCATTTTACTATTTAATTCTAGTCTTATTTTTAATCAATTTCAGTTCCTTCTGTTCATTTATGGAATCTTATACTCCATGTTCATATTCTATGGGGTTGAACAGAAGAGGGCAATACCCTGTTCATTTTGATTTCTCAATTAATATTCCATGGGATGGGAGTATCAATTAGTTAAATGTTGAGCAATGTTCTCAATGCATTAACGCCAATGGGGCTTATTGTGTCATTTGTATGTATGCAAACTATGCATGTCTCACTTGCACCTGACTCCAATTTTGAATGAGATCTAGTATGCTAACCATAACCCTTTTTTGGTTAATAATTAGTCTTGTTACCCGGTTTTTATCAAGTACTCCCTCCGTCCCTAAATTATCTTCAAACTTTCCCTTTTCGTCCGTCCCAAAATTATCTCCTCTTCCCCCTTTTAGCAAAAAATTTGTGGTTCACAACCATTCTTACACATTCTTACACATTTCTCTCTCCTCTGCACAACTCTCCACCACACAAATCCCACTATGTTAATAAATGTACCCAGCCGAAAAGGGAGAAAGATTAGGGACGGAGGGAGTACTCTATATAAGTGTTAATGTACAATAATAAAAAACATGTAAATGTATTACTTTTCAAATTGAATTTGCTGATATGGTTAAAGATGCTAGGTAGTACGGAGTATTATGTTTAAGCTACGTGGAAATTGGTGGATCGTTTTTAAACGATGTTTGAGTTCAATATTTTATATGCAGTTTAGATAAATAGGCACTCGTAAAAATAAGATAAATTGTCTTTGTTCTGTTTCTGAGTCGTGTTACTTAAATATTGAGTAAATTATATCCTATTTTTAAATTTTGGGAAAATAATCTATAGTATGCATCAAATTTTGCTGATTTTACGTTTATATAATGTTGATTTTCCAGAAGTCATAATTTTTTACTCGTAATGAATTATGGGAGTCATAATATATCAAATCAAACATAACTCAGAGCTCTATACTCTCAAACTTTCAGCGGGATCGGCTGACCACCCTGACCCCTGGCTCCACCCTTGGGTATATATGTATACAATTTTTCTTTAGTTTAGTAATAAAATACATTTTATTAAATAGGAATAAATCATACACAGGGCACAACCTTAATTATTTTCTTCCTAAATACCGAGTATGTCATATTCACTTTTAATTAGAAAGTTTTATATTCTAATACCTAGTATAACTTAATTAGCCAATTTTTTTAATAAAAAACATAACTACTCCTATTTGAACACTTTATTTAAACAGGGTGAACTCGACTAGTGCATATAATAAGAAAAAAAATTATATATCTTGTTAAAAATTGAAATTTTCGAACATTCATTCTTTGATACTACCTCTGCTCAACTTAAAATTTTTCCAAACAAGTGTATGATTATTTATCAATAATTAAGTAAGACTATTCGAGTATGTAATTTTAAGAAAATAGTTTTCATAGTTATATATTATAATGAGGTTAAAAAAACGAAAAGGTACAAATATACCCCTGTAGTATTGGTGTGAGAACAAATATATCATTGTTCTATTTTTCGAAACAAATATACCCCTGAAATATATGTTGAAGTGCATATATACCCCTGAAATTTTAAAAAGTGCAAAAGTACCCTTCATGTTCTTATAAAGGAGTAAATTTACCCTTATTAACTTTATATGGATTAAATAAATTTCCAAAAACACCAAACAAAATTGAAAATTCGAAATTTAAAAATAAAAATTTATTATTATGTTAAAATATTAACTCTTTAATTTCAAATTGCAAAATTATTATTTTTTTGTTGTAAATGAAGCACTTCAAATTCAATACTTTTAATTTTAGTTTTGTTGCGAAGTTTTGAACACATTGTTAAATTTTTTGAAATAACATTCTTTATTTTGTTTAACCTAAATAAAATTAAATTCACTATTTTGTAATCTTGGACAATTTATCATCATACAAAATGTGTAATTTTATAGTGCAAAGTATGCAAAGAGATAATATTTGTTTACATTGCAACACATATGTTAACACTTTTTTGAAAAAATCTTAAATATATAGTAAATTTTTGAAATAATAATTTATGCTAACAATATTAAATTGTGATATACAAACAATAAAAGGGAGAATCGGACACAAGTACATTTTTAAAATTTTTTATTTTCAAATTTCGAGTTTTTAATTTGTTTTTGGTGTTTTTGAAATTTATATTATCAATTTAAATTCAATAAGGGTAAATTTGCTCTTTTATACGAATAAGAGGAGTATTTTTGCACCTTTTATAAGTTCAAGGGTATATATGCACTTACACGTATGCTTCATGGATATATTTGTTCATTTTCCTTTAAAAAACAAAAAACAACATATAATGGTATCATTGATACTTATAATGGTATCATTATTAATAATATTACTCTTTTAATTATTTATCAAAATAAAAATGGAATTTTAGTTGGAATGCGAAAAGAAAGGTAAATGAGAAATGTTCAACCGAACCAATATTTGACTTGTCAAATGATTTGAAAAGGTGAACCGGCCCGGCCGGTTCGGGCCCGGGCCGGGCCAATTTTAATTTTTTTTTGAATTTTTTTTTGAGTTTTTGGGTTGGGCTGATTATTTTGGGCCATTTGAGGTGGTTAGGGTTGGTTTGGGGTGAGGGGGAGGGGTGGGGGTTAACTAGGAAAAGCCCCAAAAAAAAAAAAAAATACCCGAGGCCCGGCCCGGCCCGGGCCGGTTCCGGGCCTCCCCTTCTTGAACCGAGGCCCGGCCGGGCCCGAACCCGAACCGGGCCCGAACCGGCCCGAGTCCACTCCTATTTCACATAAACTCTCTCAATGTCAAAAATGTTTGCTAAATTGATTTTCCGAGTTAATGATATTCAATTTTTACCAATGATTTTTTTTAATGTATATGAAATTATTTTGAATATGAAAATTATATCAAAATGTTCCTTATTCAAAATATTTTCTTAAAAAGTATAAAATTTATACATTACATTCAAATATAATAATTAAAATCATTGTCCAAAGTTTGTCATCATTGATCAAGAAAAGTCAATATTTCAATCCTTTTCGGGATGAAGTTAGTACTATACTCGCTCAGGTCCAAATTTAGTTCTTACTTTCATTTTTTGAATGTCCCAAGCAAGTTCCTACTTCCTTATTTGTCAAACAAATTTAAACCAAAACGGCCAAAATAGTGCAAAATATGAAAATAGTGTCAAACAATGTCAAACAGTGTCACAACAGTGTACGGTACACTAAAATTTACCTCTTAATAAATTTTTTTTTTAATATGCATGAAGTTAAACCAGAAAGTTGAAACAGGAGGAGTATATTTTCCAACGTGCATGAGAAAGTACAAAAGATGCGATCGAGTCCAAGCCTGGTTGCAATAAACTCCGAATATCACCCACACGGATAGCTCAGTTGGTCGAGTGGTGGGAGATTTGGATTAATGGATCAAGGTTCGAATCCCCGCAGCGATCAGGTGGAGGTCACAGAACCTGAAATAAGGTTGGGCCTCTGGTGCGCACGGGTGTATGAGCCTACTGCCATTCTGCTGACTGAGTCACCGTGACTAACCTCTCCACCATTCTGTCAGGTCAGGGTGGGGCTCCCGGAGATTCCACCTTTAGGATCCATAAACTCCGAATATCTAAATGATTCTATACGTTATTGCTATTTGCTCATTGAGATTGACCATTCGATGAAGCCACCACAGATGTTATTGTCCTCTCTGAGAAAGATGTTATTGTCCTCTGAGAAAAGATATTCCAAAATAATTTTCAATAGATTTAGTCACATATATCCAATTTTATCTTGATTTATTCAATTTTTACGTCTATCAACATATTCAACTTTATCGGTTTATCTTGGCTTTTTTCTCTTTATCTGCATCAAAATTATGTCATTTCAAAACTCAAAAGAGTAAAATAAGAGTAATGTAGTAAATGTGTTACAAGAAGATTTGAAGTGGTTTTTTTAATAAAAAATGAAATGCAAGTGTTCCCGGCTTTCAACAGAACTCGAGTGAATTTTTTAGGGCATCTCCAATGGGGAGATTATATGAAAATATAATTGGGAGAATAATGGCTTACCCTATTGGGTGTCTTAGCCTTGTATTTATCATAAAATAGAGTTATGGAATATTACAAAGTAATCCCTAATTATTACATTATTACACCCTCTCAATTTGTGCAAGCGAAATCACATGCAAATTGGAACGTAAAAACTCAAAACGCTGACTGGATAAGTTCTTGGTGAAGATATCCGCCAACTGTAACTGGGTAGGAATATGCTTCACCACAAGATCTCCATGTGTTACTCGTTCACGAACAAAATGATAGTCAATCTTAATGTGTTTACTCCTGTCATGCTGAATGGGATTAACCGCCAAGTATGAAAATGATACGTAGTACCATATACGAAAATATAATTGAGAGAATAATGACTTACCCTATTGGATGACTTAGCCTTGTATTTATAATACATCAGAGTTATGGAATATTACAAAGTAATCCCTAATTATTACATTATTAGAGATGGATTGCCAAAAAAATGTCATCCACCCCACCCAATGGAACCTTTGTGAGCAAATGCACTTTCCAATACAAAAAGAAAGGGAAAATACTCTAATATTACTAAAACTCATGACTTATACAAGAATATGACCATATATGTTTTTAATCTTTATTTATGACCAAATTGAACATCACATACATGGCCGCATGGAATTATGAGAATAAATACTCCCTCCGATTCCTAAACAAGTTCCACATTTGACTTCACACATATTAAGAAAATAAAATTGACTTTACTGTGGAGTGCACTGTTTGGCACTGTTCGAACATTGTTTGGCACAATTTGGCACTGTTTGACACTGTTTTGATATAGATAATAAGGAAATGTTTGAAAGTGGAACTTAATTTTGAATCTGTCCGAAAAGGAAATGTGGAACTTGTTTCAGAAACGGAGGGAGTAACAGATAATGACCTTATGCATATACGAACCAATTCCTTATGTTTAGGAACAACAATTAATGCAGCTTAACACATGCTTTAATTTCTCCTTGGTCGTTAGTTAAGGAAATCTTACAAAAGAGAAGTTATTGTTGGAGAAAAATGTCTTGATAATTGAGGTACATAGATAGTAAAAAAATGATGATGGGTGATCATAGGCTGTAATTTGAGGACAATAAAGAAATGGGCAATAAATTAACATATTGAATAGGACAAAAGCACACAAATCACACTACAGTACAAATGTGGTATGATGGAAATAATCATATAGGCAGTAACTA